GGGGACCTGCCGAAGAGTGCGGTGGGGTGGAGGGCGAGGGAGGAGGGCGCCTTTTCGACTTGGTATATTTCGCATTCTTGAACCTACGACCTTTAGTAAAGACTTTCTAAATCCCACAAAATGTTGAGTCCAATTAATTTCTTCGTTTGCCTATTATGATCATCTGATTCTTACAAGAAATTCTAACATGCGCTATGTCATCAAAGTGATAGACGATCGTGGAGCGCTTGTAGCGCGAGATAGGCAGTTAGTTTATACTTTTTTGTTCGATCAAAAAATATCTTCGGAGAAAATTTCCGACAAATGAAGGATAGGCAAAAAGCGTGGGGTTCGCTTTTCAATGATCTCTGAGTTCTCTTCAAAAGGCAATCGATTCGTAGTACATCTTTGAACAACGAAAACTCTATAGAATTTCGAGTTGTGCACTTACCCCAACTCCTTTTGTCGTGGGTCATCACCACGAGACGACCATTTGGCTTCACCACCCTCTCCCATTCCACAAGAAGTTGAGGGTACAAAATGCGGTTGTCACTGACAGATCCAATTTTTCTGCCGAATCTGAGACAGATTTGCTATGCTCAATGTATAAACCGATATGATTCACGTATGTTGAGATAATTCCAAAGTTCAGAAAAATATTTGGCTCAGAACTTTTCCAGAGGTGAATGTACTAGTTCGATTTCTGATAAATATCCATTAACATATTTCGTTGTTTTAGTTTCCTAGTGTTGTAGGCGCCAATCATACAGAGAGTTCCGCTCCTCTCGCACGTTTTCTCCCACAAAATGTTGAAGGAATTTTTATGTTTGTCATTGAAATCGGTGCAGTCACAGGGTTACTTGAGTTATCTATGGGTTTTAGTTTCACTGGATATTTTATCAAAAATAATAAAATAAAAATTTTATTAAAAATATCCAGTGAAAACTTAAACCCATAGAAAACTTAAGAAACCCTATGACCGCACTGGAGTTTCAATGACAAGTATAAAAATTGCTGAAAAAAGGCCTCAGTTTCTTAATTCTTAACAGTCAGGCGGTGTCTCGGCTTGATTGCCTCGAATATATTTGTAAATGTACATTATTATAGTACATTTTCCACAGAAATGGTCTGCTTTTACAACAAATGGAAAAAAAACCTACGGGAGATCAGTGACAATGCTGTCGATGGAGCTTTCAGAAAACGGTAAGTTGACTGCATCACAAGCAACGAACGACAATTCCGAACCGCTTTGCATCAATTCGGCCTCGCAGTGTTGCTGAAAAGTGGAATCAGATGCGCTACTCTCAACACGCCAGACCCACTGCATTAGGGTAAATTTGGAGTTTAACAATCAGGTGATCTTTCCCACAAACAAAACTTTACAAAAAAATTGGGTAAGTCCCACGGAGTGAAAAATTTTGCCTTCAACTCAGCACTCTTGTGATAACTTTCGCATGGCAAACTGCAGCTAGCACTTTACAATCAAGAATGGGTCAGAAATTAATATCTCCAGTGAGCAGAGCAGACAAGGCGTATCCGAAACGGCCAGGCTTGTGATTCATGCCGACATCTACCGATTTGAGGCTGTTCCGTTGTGATGATGTCCAGTGAATGTTTCTAGAGTTTCATCTTGTTTCATTTCGACGTTGTCGCGATTCGCAAGCATCGCTCACTAAGGTATTCCCCGGGTGTATTGGTTCGTGCCGCAGACACCCACCTTGACCATCCCACACTTGCTCTTCACGTTGATTATGCGGGAAACCACAACCGCCCTGATGGCATCGATCAAGGCATCGCCGTCGACTTACTACCTCTTCGCCAGTGCAGTCACCTAGACAGCTTTGCTGTCGCTTCTCTACCGTTCAGAGTATTTCAACGTTTCCCCTGACGGTCCTATTAACTACTTCAGCATATTGCCCCAGTTCAGCAATCCTTACCAGGGTCAACACTGCGTTGCGCAAATTCCAAAAATTTTTACGACCCCCTTCCTTTTCGGAGGGTATCGGTACGACCCCCCGCACTAACTATTGGGTTGGAGCATAATATCGTAGCGTTTTTTTTTGAGCGTATAAATTCAATCAGTACAAGTATCACCAAAAAACCGCTCATATTATTTGAAAGTACTCTTCCCGCTCTACAAAACCGTGTTGTCATTTTCTTCAAAATTGTAGCTGTACTCAGGTATAGAGCTTAGAAGTTGGAAAATCCAGACGGCGAAAATCGGCGTTTCGACAGCTGCTATTCTTCGGTTTAAATAAAGAAGAAAAACGCCAAATTGGAAGTTCTTTGAATCCATTGTTCTAATCGAACCTTGCTCTAAACGACCCTACCTTTTTCGCTCAAATTAAAACCATATTCATTTCGTACAAATTGAGAATAAGGACTCCGAAAACGAGCTCAATATTTTTTTTAAATTCTATATCCGGTGATCTCCTGCGAAATGCAATCAAAGTTGTAAATAATGACGAAGTGAACATCACTGATTAGTTTTATGTTTTTATTTTTTGCTTCAAATGTTTGTGTGAAGAAATGAAAAATGCAAGCGCTACGATATTATGCTCCAACCCAATATTATGTCTTTCACATAATTTAATGCTCATCATGATGTGTGGGCAGTCACCAACATGGAGAAGTGGTGGACCGTGGTCAATCCGCGCGCTCTTGTCTCGCTCAGAGGAGGGAATCGAGGCAACATGAAGTTTTATTCATTAAATAGAAGGAATTTCCAAATTTTTGCGTAAACCAATACATCATTTTAATCAAAATTTCTACTTTCAGAAACCCACCAAGTTTTTTTTCGATCTCTCAATTTTCCTTATTTTATAATCTGAAAAACTAAACCTTGTAGCAATTACGTTGCAATCCAAACCCCTCCATTCAGAAGGTTATATTTTCTTCAGAAGCGGTCTCATGGAACCGGACACCAAAATTTTAAAAATTCAAATAGTTTTCTTCCTAAAAAGTATTTGAAATGTTGCGAATGTTCAATATTTCAAAAAATCGTCCCGTTGTTCCGTTTTTTGTGCACACGCGAGTTTTCGACATTCAAACATTCATAACTTTCTTCATAATCAACTTTTTGCAGATGTCTAAGGCTAATTAGAAACTAGAAGATTAGAGCTTTCGAATAAGTGCTAAAACTTTTGAAATAATCACTCGCTCAAAAAATAGTCCCGTTGTTCCGTTTTTCCACCTTGATTTTTTTCAAGCCATTTTCCTGGACCGCGACTTGCAGTCTTCAAAGGCCCATAACTTCCTTCAAAATTAATGTGATGAGAAGCGGTAAAGACTGTTAGAATCTACTCGAAGAGTACTTCATAACAAGTGTGAAATTTTCCTGAAATTCTTTCTTCTGCCTCAATTTTCCTAAGGGGTCTCTAGAACTCAATTCAGCAAATTCGCTACACTTTGTTTCGCTTAGATTTTATTTGAAAGCATCGAAATTCTCTTCAGAAAGTTTGTCTGCTTACGGCCGCTGACAGAGAAGGCGTTTTTATGGGAAAACGCCTGCTCGGGTATACGCCGTGCACCTGTCTGTGGGCAGAAGTCGCACTCGCATTTGAAAGTCCTCCATTTTCCTGAAGAAGGTGTTAGTATCGTGACTGAGTTGCAATGTACTGTCATATGGTACTCTTGTTTCACTCCCCATGAACTGCTCTACACTTTGTTCTCCTTGGGATTTCAGGAATGTTCGATCATCGAAATGACAGACCATGTTTTTTGCAGTACGCTGTAACAATTAGTTTTTCTTGACTATGTAATCTTTGATCTATGCTGTCGAGCGAAAGCGCCGTCCGTGTATTAATAATAATGCTGATAGTGAGACTTATAATGCTCTGCATGCTCTAATGCTCCCATGGAGCTCTTGTCTGTGTGACTCTCCGACAGCTGCACGGTGCAGAGCTCCTGGAGAACATTAGAGCGTGAAAGTGCACTGCCCGGACACTGCACTTTTCAAGCCGTCTTGCAGCCCCGTCTGTGGATACGACCCCCTCCCTTTCGTTCGGCTGAATACGACCCCCTCGTTGTTCTTTGCGCAACGGGCGGTTGACCCTGATCATTACTAAACCTCCCAACGGTCTATACCATTCCTTACTCAGAGAGACAACGGCCTTCGTCTCGGCTGGTCCCCCCATCCTGCCTGCGGACCCCTCCACGCCAGCGTGATACAGGCAACATGCTTCCGTGGCGGAGACATGCTTGTTAATCTGCTCTTTTACTAGCACTCACTTAAAGCAACAGTCCCAGCAGGGTTTTTACCTTCGACACTAATGGTGTGGAACGATGCGCTAGCCCTAGTCAAGAACATAAAAAAGTGTGACTGAACAAAAAACTCACCTTGGAAAGCCGCTAGAAAGGGAGCTGAACGGCTTCGAAGTGGGCGTGGTTGGAATCGGCCGAGGGGACTGCACAACCACGCCCACTTCGAAGCTGTTCAGCTCCCTTTCTAGCGGCTTTCCAAGGTGAGTTTTTTGTTCAGTCACACTTCTTATGTTCTTGACTAGGGCTAGCGCATCGTTCCACACCATTAGTGTCGAAGGTAAAAACCCTGCTGGACTGTTGTTGCCTGCTTGACTGCTACTTTAGCGAGTTGCATAAATATAATTCTTACGGTAATCGTCAGTGTATTCAGATAAGACCCTAGGCACTTGTTAGTGCATTGTCTATGTCAGCACTCGGAGTAAATAATATCAAACTGTTATAGTCTACGACTTAGTTCAGCAGACTCTCGGGAGTAGCGGGCGGAAGAGTGTGGTGTGCACATATTTAACCCTTTGACGACCGCCGTTATGAATGCGTCACTTCACTTCTTTCTAAATTTTTTCATCAATAATCATTAACTCTCCAACAATTTCACTATTAGTAATTAGCGCATTATTCCGCGAATTCGATAATGTATTTGTGTAGTTTTGAAACATAAAAATGCCAAAATAAACCAAAAACGAGTCGCCACCGAGCGAAAGTGTGGCCCACCGGCGGGCCACACGGTCGTCAAAGGGTTAAGCAACTCTTGGAAGTCAGGTGTTGGTTCAGCGTAGATGGCCAAGTGCAGGGGAAGGGAAGAACCAGCTGGGAGTTGCTTTAATATGTGCACACCGCACTCCTCCGCCCGCTACTCCTGACGCAGGACGCCCCCGATTCGCAACAGTCGTGATTTCCGTGTATCTAGCATCTTATTACTCTACTTACGGTGCAACATATTAGGTTGAAAATTATGAACAGTTTGAACCCACCACGTTTTGCAAACACCGCTCAATAGCTTTTGGATGGATGTCAGCACCGATGAACAGGCATCCTGGAAATGCCAGCGCAGCCTCGAGCGGAATGGAGCCACCACCACACATTGGATCAAGTACCACATCGCCTATGACAGCCATGATAATAAGGCAAGAGTTGAATGGAGTACAGCTGAGTTTTCGCGTCTAGGACCCCTCACACGTACAATGGAAGTTTTACGAGTTTAAAGGAATCTTCCACGGAAAAAGCTCCGCCCTCATTACCACAGAAAACGATACCTTAAAGGAATCTTCCACGGAAAGAGTGATCATTTTGTCTTGTGTGTAGGATTAGTATTATCGAAACTAACGCTTATGTTCCGTTCTTTTTGCTATGCTCATGAGGCTAGGGGCCTAAGGGGTATCGTTTTTCTGTGGTAATGGAGGCGGAGCTTTTTCCGCGGAAGATTCCTTTAATTGATAAAGTTTTCTCGCACAAGCTTTCTCTAAGTCACTTGAAGCCACAGCGATTAGCTCTGTAACACAAAATATTGAGATATATCAACAAGTATCTTCTAATGACTTCATTGCAGCAGGTAATGCTGTTGCTAGGAAAGAAGAAAGATTAAATTATATTCAGACATTCCAAGAAAGAGAATTTAGAGGTACTCTGGACCTGGATAAAGTTCGAGATTCATCAAGTTTAAGCCTGATGAACGGTGTGAAAGACCAACTTAATGAAGTTTCCCAGCAAGGTAAACAGGTTGTTAATACAACCCACCATTAATAAGACGATATCAAAGACCTCCACAACAAAATATTGCGTACCTTGTCTAGGTTGAGCTAACGCCGCCATACAGTAGCACATCGTTGACCGCATGGTTGTTGGTCCAAAAGAGCACACATTCCTTTTGAAAAGAGACTCTCGATTGAGAGAAGCCATTACCAACATCTGAAAAAATATGCGCTCATCGATCAGGCAGGTAAAAGGAACTGTCAGGTTGTCCTATGAGTTTTTGCTGATTTCCCTGAACTTGTAACTTACCGCGCATAGTCAACACCTGTTTAGCCACGCGCGCAACTACGCGCATCACATGATGGGATTCATCAGACTCGACAACCTGCAGAATATTAGGTCACGTGGCTGAGAAACTAACAGTAAGATGTTTGGAAGATGTGTCACATGAAGTTCAAAGGTTGTCCAATTTTGCTGAAGATTGTCGCGTAATGCGCGCAGTAGCATGCGGAATGAAAATGGTACTTATCATGACTTCGTAAACATTTAGCATTGATATCGAGCTCGGAAGATTTAGCGGTTTGTAGAATTTCCTCCATGAGATGAATGACTAACCAATAAAGTTCGATGGGAAATTTGTAATTGGTCCAAGTCCAGAGCATTGAGCGGCTCAGCTTCCTTCACTTTTTCGATGAAAGGTTAGGAATGGAACATATCCACGTGCTAGAAACTACCTTAGTCCATTGGGTCCACACGCTGATACTGCACTGATTCATTTTATAATTCCACCAGAAGAAGAGTAGCAGATAAGGGCAGCAGGGTCGAGCTCAAGGTTTCTAGGCACATATACATCACATTTCAATTGGCGGGTTGAGCTTATGACCTTTCGTGGCAAGGGATCAGCGAGAGTTGGAGCTTTGGAGCTCGGATTTCATCGTTGTGTGGAAAACCACAGACGGTCTCTTTAACGTCAATCAAGTAAAGCACAGATTTTCCGGACAGCTGATGAGAAGATGGAGTGCTGCAAATGCAGGGTGATACCCACGCGATAAATCGGCAACCCAGGCATTCCAGATCATTTAGCAAACTCTCTTCTTTATCACAACAACATACATACAATAGCAGTCAAAAGGTTGGAAACGCTTTCATTTTCCATCCAGCGCCGTCAATAAACAACGAACTTACCCCAACTCACATATTAATCACAAAATCAAGTGGAGAATACGATCCACAGCTGACTCCCTGAACTCCGAAATAATACAAAAAAAGGCGTGCAAAAAATTCAGAAAATTTCTGCTCCTAACTACGACTT